TGTTCCTAGGGGTGAAAACTACCCCTAATTTTCAAAAATTGTAAAATAATATTATAAATCTTAAGATGAGTGAAATTTGGTTTGTATTAGTTAAATAGTGATTTTTTTATACTTTAAAATACAAATTCATACATTTTCAACCCTTAAAAATCAATTGTTATGAAAGCTATAGGTGAAAACAATTTTTTGCCAAAATTTTGCAACTTTTCAACTTTTGAAAATCACCCTTTACAACATTGCAGGTTTTATAAACTAATTTATAAGATATAAATTGAAAAAAGTAGAATTAAATACAAAAAAATTTATCAACATAAAAAGCCACCATATATTCTTATACATTTACATAAATAGTTGAAAATATTTACATTTATAGGTAAAACAATTATAATATTAATTTTATTCGTCATCAATTACATCTTCATCGTGATCTATGTCATCCTCATCTTCAATTATTGGTGGACTATTATTGCACCCTTCAACTGAGCACCCAGAACAAGTAGAGTTACAGTATAAACCAACTTTTCTGCACCCACATGAAACACCGCATCCTTTTTTGCATTGGCAAAAAATAATTTTCAAAAAGTTCATCGAGTGCAGGTTGTTTGTTCATGCGTACGGGTAATAACAAACCATCTTTGGAATACCATCCCCAATCATTGGATTTCAAAATAAGAACGCTTAAAATTCCGAATGTATAACGCCCCACTAGCTAATATACCGGTTTTGTAGATTATTATGCTCCGAAATGTACTGTACTATACTAATGGAATTTTCCGGAAAAAAATTCACTGGTTTTTTTAACGTATTTCCTTTAATTTTTAACGATAGAGTGTTTCTTTAAAAACGATTTGTAGAGGTTTTTAAGAGCTACAAGGATCTGTGAATTAAATCTTTTTGGAACCCTTGGTTTTTAAATGGGGTGAGTTTAAAGGGCTCGAACAAGATGGTGCTTGATCGTAAATCGATGCTTTAAACGGCTATATCTCGCCAAATATTCATTGTACAACAAATCTAAATAACGGATAATTTTAGTCATTAAAAAAAGCTACAATTTGGTAATTTTTATTTTTTTCATATATTCAGTATTTTCGGGCATATTTAAAAAAAGAAGGGTAAAAAATATGAAATTGTAAATCGTTTCTCGCTTTAAGCTGTACTTTTTCTAACACAAAGCATTTTAAATGGGTCAAACTTCTTGGACGTGTTAACAATACATGTACAAAGGGAATTGCAGAAGGGTGAAGATCGATTTTAATTATGGGGGTGGTTAGGGGGTTGTTTTCATCGATTTTTTCGTAAAAAATGAGGTATTGACCTTATTTTCATCATAACTCACTTAATTTTTAAGCTAGGGTCTTTTTTATGATAGGTCTATTTATGCTCTTTAAAAAAGGTTTTGTGAGTTTTCTTCCAAAAATGCATCATTTTCCCGATATTTGACTTTGAATATTTCAAATTTGGCATTTGAAGAAAACCGCTGAACATTGATAGGCCGTATTTCGGTTCCTATTATATCGCAAAAACATTTAAAAAAATGAATTGTATTTGTCTTTTTAAAAGCTACAAATTTGTTCTCTACAATTTTTTTGATAAAATGCACCATTTTCGAGTTATTCGCGAAAAATCGATTAAAAACGTGGATTTTTTCGTCTAAAAGTTGTTACTTTCAACCGCGAATAACTTGAAAAATATCTTTTTATAAAAAAAATGTATAGTACATTTTTTGTTTAGAATCACTTTTTTAATCGAAACCTGTAGTTAAAACGTAAAAAAAAATTTCACCCCGGAGATGGGGTGGCAACCACCCCCTACGCTTTGGCGCACTTTGGTTCGATATAGATTTCGATCCTTAGGCTATTACCTACCTTCTGTTAAATTTCAAGTTAATTCACGCAGCACGAAAAAATTGCGAGGTGAAATGCTTCATTTCCTGGACTATAACTGGTTTGACTGCATAAATCGTAGATTTATGTGTAGCTTTCAATTTTTATGAGTTCAGAATCCAGCAGCCCGCTGAAATATGGGATTTTGATGATATAATTATTTGACAATCTTTTGTTGGCCAACCATCTACAGCAGAATTGAGCCGAAATACATTATATTCCTATGTTCCGAATTTATTTCGTTATTATATATATATATATATATATATATATATATATATATATATATATATATATATATATATATATATATATATATATATATCGGTTTTAAAACGTTCTCCTACGTCTTCCGATGCCTAGTCGCCATTCACTTCGGTCCATCCAAAGGTCTTTATCTAATTCTCTTTCTCTCATACTTCGATTTATGCCTTCTCTCCAACTAAGGCGGGGTCTTCCTCTTTTTCGTCTACCATGAGGGGTCCACGTTAGGATTTGTTTCGGGAGTCGTTCTTCGGACATTCTTTGTACGTGTCCATACCATCTAAGCTGTTTGGTACTAATGTCATCTACTATTGTGTGTTTCACATTCATTATTTCCCTAATTCTGTTGTTGGTTACCCTTTCTAATCTTGATTTTCCTGCTGAGCGCCTCCAGAAATCCATTTCTGTTGCTTCAAGTTTTCTCTTGTATCTTTCTTTTATTTGCCATACTTCACTGCTGTAAGTGATTATATTCTTAACAATTGTATTGTATATTCTATGTTTGTTGTTGTTTGATATTGCCTGGTCCCACAGTATGCTATTGAGAAAGGTAATTGCTTTTCTTCCCTGGTTGTTTCTTTCTTCTATCGTCCGGTCTACGTTTCCTTCTTCTGTGATGGTCATACCCAGGTATTTATATGCGTCGCAATGTTTAATAATTTCGCCATTCCCCAGTGTAAGGTCCTGCTGTGTCCCACCGATACACATATATTCGGTCTTTTTTATGTTTATTTCCAAACCACCTTTTTTGTACTCCTCTATTAATTTCCTTGTCATATATTCTATATCATCGTAGTCTTGCGCTAGTACAAGTTGGTCGTCTGCAAATGACAAAGTGTATATTGTATTGTTGTTGATCGGTAATCCCGTGTTTTTGCATTTGCGTTTCCAAAGTTTTAGAGTTTGCTCGAGGTAGATCTTAAATAATGTCGGTGAAAGGCAGCACCCTTGTTTTAGGCCTTTGCTAATTTGGAATCCTCTCGATAGCCCGTTTCCAACTTTCACCCTTGCTGCAGTTTTGGTATACAATTGTTTCGTCGCTGTTATTAAATTTGCGCTTATATTGGTTTTCTCTAATGCTTCCCATAGTTTGTTTTGTGGGATGCTATCATACGCTTTTCTCAAGTCCACATATAACAGATGCACCTCCTGGTTGGTCTACCGTTGATCTCCCTGTCCGGAATCCTGCCTGTTCTTCAACTTCTATATCTTTATATTCGTTTTCGATTTTATTTTTAATCAGTTTTCCGTATATTCGGCTGATCGAGTTCGTTACAGCGATGCCTCTGTAGTTGTCACATTGATCCCGTCTGCCTTTTTTATGTATGGTGGACATCCATGATGTCTTCCATTCTTCTGGGATTTCCGCTCCGTTGAAAGAGTTTAGCCAGGTTTTCATATAATTTTGTTGTGCCATATTTTATTAGTTCAGCTGGTATGTTCCCTGGTCCTGGTGCTTTGTTATTTTTTAAAGACTTACATACTTCTTCTACTTCTTTTGTTGTTATTCGTAATGGTGAGGCTAAGATATTTACGTTGCTGGTATCACTGTTATTTAAAAATTCCGCTCTGTCCGAGTTTTTTTAAAATATTCGTCCCATTGATCCGGTGTGATTGATGATATTATATCTCTTTTCTTTTCCCGTCGTAGCGATTTTATTACTAATACTAATTTAATACTAATACTAATAAGGCATTTGATCGGGTCAAATTAAAAGACATTATCAATTTATTGTACACAAGAGAGATACCTCTAGGAATAATTAAAACGATCGAAAATATCTACCAAAACAACATAATACAAGTAAAAGTAGAAGAAGGGTTAACTGACCCTATTGAAGCTGGCAATAGGATAAGACAGGGTTGACATTGACATGGTTATGGATGAAATAATAGAAAAAGTAATAACTAATAAACAAGGATACCAAATGGAAGAAAAACAGCTTAAAATAATTTGCTATGCTGACTACGCAATACTACTCTCTCAGAGTAAAGACGATTTACAACGTAGGATGCACCAATTTAATATAACCGCCAGAAAATTTGACATGTTAATTTCCCAAAAAAATACATGGTTATAACATCAAATTTGCTAAAGATGGAGCTGGAAGCTCAGATAATTAAAGTGATAAAGGTTAAATATCTAGGCATCATATTATCTAGCTACGGAAAGCTCGAAACAGAAGTGGAAGATCAAGTAAATAGAGCAAACAGAGCCCCAGGTTGCCTGAATGAATCGATATGGAAAAATAAAAATATCATGAAAAAAATGAAAGGCAGAATTGACAAAAGAGTCATCAGACTAATAATAACATACGCGGCAGAAACACGACCTGACGCAGAGAAGACAAAAAGGATAATAGAAATAGCAGAGATGAAAACATTTAGAAAAATTGATAGTAAAACACTATGAGACAGAGCTAGAAGTACATATATACGACGTAGATGCAAGGTGGAGAACATCAAAAACTGGGTAAAAAATAGAAGAGTAGAATGGAACGAACATATTAGCCAACGGATAACAAATGGAGTAGTAAAGACAGCAAGAGACAGTTCCCTAATAAGGCGCTCAGTATGAAGACGATCAATAAACGATGAAACGACAAGTTACTGGAGGCACATTGAAAAACAGAGAGAGTCATGTCTACATACAAAGAAGAAGAAGAAAATGAAAATTATCACGTGCGTTTCTTTTCCTTTATTCAGTATAGTGTCTCGTATATAAAATTTATTGGTATGTAATAAAAATGTTTCTCAGCGTATTGCAATATGTTTGATATAATTTAAATTTCAAAAAGGTAAAAATTAGGCTAATGATGTAAAATTACATTAACTTGATTAATCAACACTTACCTCCGAAACATTACTATAGAGCACATCATCCGGCCTGTAAGCAACATATTTGCTAAGTTCGCGATGTTTAGATTGCAATTTCGTCTGCAAAACTTCTATCTCTTTACAGTAATCATGAACAGTCTCCTTCTTATCACTATAAATTTGATTAAGACTAACATAACACAATCTTAAGACGTCGAACATCTTTATAGCCTCTAAACAGTAATTCCTCTTAAGAGTCTTCTTAGCAAGAGGATCAATCGAGGAAAGCTTGGAATTGAATTTTGCTTTTAAGTAACTAACACTTTGGTATAAACAAGAAATGGTTAAAATAAACTCATCGAGCTCTAAAATATTCTCCAGTTGTTGAAATTTCAGGAACGAGTATTTTATTTTGTCTAAGAGGCCAGTTAGCTCAGGATGAGCGTCGGAACTATGAACATCTTGAAGTTTCTTTAGGATATTTTGCACCAGATCGTTAGTCTCATTCTCAGTGGTTATCTTAAGTGAAAGAGCTAGTTCTTGTAAAAATTTGGTGTATACCTTTGTGATATTTTGTTTCTCACACCACCTAAAACAAAAAAAAAATAGAAATGTGAAACAGGATTAATTTTAAAAGTGATGAATTGTTAAATAATACGCATTTACTCGTTAACTGAAATAACTAATGTATAGTTTATAATGTATAATGTATAGTTTAACCATGTAATGTACAGGGTAGAGCATAAACCTAACATATTTTTAAATTTGTAGTAATCCATAGGTTTATTGCTGTTTAGGAATATATACTTTCAATCTTTTAATACACAAAACGCAAAAGTCTAAGGATATTTTAATAATTTGACAATACCAATGACAGAAATTTCATGACCATATAAATTTGCTTGTACTATAATTGTTGATACAGAACACTCACTTCTTATCAAAAAAAAATTTAAAACTGTACACACAATACGTGTTTTAGAATGTTTTTTATAAGGGACAAAAAAATCGACATTTTTATGTTTTGTTTATTTTTAATTTTAGTCACTTTATACCATTCTTGGTTAAAAAGTAAGTTCAAGATATTGTATTTTACCATGCAACGACAACATTTAACGTTGGACGAGATGAATAGAGCCGTGGGCCTCCTTCAAGCTGGTATGCGACAAAATCAAGTTGCTAACCAGCTGGGTGTCTCGCAAAGCGTCGTAAGTCGTTTGTGGCGTCGGTTTGAAGACACTGGGAGTCCAGGCGAGCAACATCCAGGACGTGGTCGCTCTACAACCGTCGCTCAAGACCGATATTTAATTTTAAATGCCAGAAGGCAGCCAACAATCATAGCACCCGAGCTGGTTAATGAATTACAACTTGCACATAATGTAACAATTAGCAGCAGTACTGTGAGAAATCGTCTCCATGAAGCCAATCTTCATAGTCGGCAACCACTGAGATGTCCACCTCTATCTAGAGGCAATCGCGCTGCAAGATTAACCTGGTGTCAAGAGTTTCTGAATTGGACTGACCATGAATGGGCCACAGTTTTGTTTAGTGACGATTCTAGGTATGGATTTCTTCCAGATTGTCGTCGGACAAGAGTTTGGAGACGACCCGGAAATGGGGAACGATTACGACATCTTCAAGAAGTGTATGCATACAGAGGTGGTACATTAATGGTATGGGGCGGAATCATGATTAACGGAAGAACTGACCTCATTTTCCCACGTGGCTTTCTCACAAGTCAGCAATATTTGGACACTGTTCTTGAACCTGTTGTGCGCCCCTTTGCTGCTGCTGTTGGAGAAAATTTTTACTTTATGCATGATAACGCTCGACCACACGTTGCGCATATTGTAACAAACTGGTTGGATAACGAGGGTATTGATGTATTGCCGTGGCCAGCACAATCACCGGACTTGAATCCCATTGAGTATGTATGGGACATGCTCCAACGAAGAGTTACTTCACATATGGGTAATATCTACAATGAGTTTCAATTAAAAGAGCTTCTGAGAGAACAATGGGCACAACTACCTCAAGCAGACATTAACAGTGTGATTCGAAGCATGAACAGTAGATGTAGAGCTGTGATAAACCAACGTGGTGGCAATACTTTATTTTAAGTTTATATTTCGTATTTTTGACATTTTATGGTGGTATGTGAAACATGCGTGATTTGCAATTATTTTTTTTTTGTTCCAATTTTATGTTTTTTTTGCAATTTATGGTTTTTGACATAATAAACAACAATTTAAACTACAAATTTTGTATTACTTTTTTTAAGTTTATTACAGATAAAGAAAATACGTCTATTCATAAAAATATCCCTAGACTTTTGCGTTGTGTGTATTTGTGATACAGATGACAGCAGTTGTGGTTAAAATAATGAAATATTAATAATCATCACTGACTGTAAAAGCTGACAACTTTTTCACATTTTGTGAGTCAATTTAAAAATCATTAAACGTATTGTATTTCTAAACATAATTTATGTATTTTTACCTTGTTTAAGCATCTGTTGCATACATGCAACATACCACATGTTATAAAAAAATAACTGTTTTATATGTTAGATTTCGCGTTTGTTATAATTTTTTTTTCGATTTTTCAGGGTAATGGATGAAAAAAAAAAGAAGGTGCCTTGCTTAAAAGTGAGAGTATTTGGTTAAAAATACGTAAGACATAAGATCAATACTCGTCTAATTAGTAATGAAGATAATCAAGATAGTGATTTTACCATTTTTATTAAATGATACTTCCTCTGGGATGATGGGACTTCATCAAAATGGCCGATCTGGTATCTTCTGTCAAATATTTTTTGAGTCAATTCAAAAATAAAAACAGAATACACAAACACAAAAAACACATACAATATATTGTATTTATACACATTTTTATGGATAAAATGAAGTAAGTATAACTTGTTTCTTGCGTCTAACACAAGTATGATTAAAATTGTTACCATAATTTAATTTCTAATTTTCTAATTTTACGTATCAGTTGCATACATGCTAATGTTACATTTTATAACTTCTGTACATATATTACATTTCGCGTTTCTTTTATCAATTTTTGCATTTTCATGGTAATAGGTAACAAAAAACAAAGGTGCACTGTTTAAGAATTAGAGTATATGGCTAAAAAATTATTTAAAAAGTAAATGAGGGTCTAATTGGTAATGAAGATAATAAAATAGGAATTTTGAAGATTTAATAGTTTGACACTCTGCATGATGGGAGTTCATCAAAATGCCCAATGTGGATGTAAGTAGTTTGTTTGTCACATTTTGTTGCATATACAGGGTGTCCCATAATTAATTGGACATCAGCTAATGGGTAACTGACATTAAAATAAAGCGTTTGAGCTCAAACTGCTTAGGCAAAATATTGCTAGTTTTCGTTCTACAGAGTGATTCTTTAATATTTTTTTATATTATTTCTAGAGATATAGTAAAAACTATTCAACCAATTTAAGTGAAATTTATTATCTTGCTATTATTTAGTATACTTAATATGAAAATGATTTTAGTTTTACCATTGACACTATGTGGCGTCACCTACTACATACATACTAATTGGTTCATTAATGTGGCCATAATTTTTTTGTCCGCCCTGTAAAAAGCTTCTAGGAAAAAACTATGAAATAACACTCAATTCTACACAAAACAGGTATTCTTGTTTCAAATCAAAAAAGTACACCGTTTTCAAAATAAACTTATTTTTTAGAGACGTGCATAAAATGAAAAAAAATTACAAAAACTTATGTAAATTCAAATATTGTTCAAAAGGTTTTTAATACCAGTGAATATTAAATGTATTAGTAGCAGATAATTTTTATAAACAAAATGCATATGATTGAAACAATTATTTTTATTAAACTTTTACAAACTAATAAATTTAAAATAAATCAGAAATTAAATTAAATTACATTAAATACAAGTGACTTTGGTAGCCCCACAAGTGAAAGTCTAGGGAATTTAGTTCGGGACTGCCTGCTGGCCATGGGTATACATTACCTCTGCCAATCTAGGCTATAATGTTGTGGTGCACTATCATGCATGTACCAAGAGTTACGTCTCAAATTTAAAGGTATGTCTTCTAAAAGAGTTGGTAAATCTCTCAAAAAATTTAGATACTTTACTCCGTCAAGCCTAGTTGGTAATTTAAATGGTCCTACAATACAATCCGCAAATATGACACACCAGATATTTATGGAACACTCATGTTGAAAATAATTTTCTTGAAATGCATGAGGATTTTCTGTCGCCTAGGTATGGCTATTGCGCCAGTTAAACACACCTCTTCTAGCAAATGTGGCTTCATCGGTAAATAAAATTTTATTATAAAACATTAGATCGTCTAAATGCCACCCTATCATAAACTGACTAAATCGGAGCCATGCTGGAAAATCCTGTGGTAAAAGATTCTATACTGAAGTAAAACGATACGGATACAGATTTTCTGTCCGTATTATTCTTGACACTGTAGATTTGCTTATACCCGTGGCCGCAGAAACAAGCCTTGTACTGGTTTCTGGATCTTCTGCAACAAGCACAACAATTTCATCCTCCATATCCACATCAATTACTCTCGGTCTTCCAGCATTCCTGTTTTTGGGATGAAATGACCCTGTTTCGCCTAATCTTTCGAACAATGATCTAATAGTTTTATAGTTTGGTTGCCTTCTATTCGGATACAGTTCTAAATAGCGTTGAGCTGCTTTACAAGAATAAAAATTTTCCTGGGCATACAAACAGATCATATCGCGCATTTCTACATTAGAAAATTAACTATGAAAATTCACGTGGCATTATACCTTTTGACAAATAATGGACTGCACTTTGACAACTAATAATAAATAAATTCGTAATTACGTCTTGACTTTGCCATTAAGTTCAAAGCATACTTGTTTTGCAAAAAATTAAATAGAGACATGCATCATTAACAAAATACGTTTATTTCGAAAACGATGTACTTTTTGATATGAAATAAGACTAGGTACCTTTTTGTGTAGAATTAAATGTTAGTTCATGTTTTTAAAGTTGTACTTCTTTAGGTGCAATTGGGAAACCGTTGAGAGTGAATTTTTATAAAAATGACAGCATAAAGTACCTACGCGCTCCCTGGCAGTATAAAGTTAGTTGCTAAATATTTGAATTACGTACGCATCAATGCAAATAAAGAAAAAATATAATTTATAATTTTTGTATCTTTGAATTTGTCTTTGTCGAAAATATAGATAATAAAATATGATGAAAAGATGATTAAAAGGCAATCTTAATATTATTTGTAGATATAATCTGTCAAAAATACTTATTTTAGTATGAATATTACAGCCATAGCACACTGGCTTACACCAGTTGTCGCTTGAAAACAGAAGTAAAGCAGTGTCAACTAGGGTCAAGCTTTAAATGGTCGACCGCTTAGGAACATGTCATGTTATTGCCTTGCTTACTTTTTTTTTTATTTTCGGTATTTGTAAGAAAATTTTTAGGAAACTTGTAAGTATTAAAATTAGTTTAATATTTAAATAAAACACATCTAAACTCTTTAAAATATATTTATTTCGTTAAAATCATATAATAGAAGTATAACTTCTTACCTGCGTACAAAGTACACACATATTCTTTTTTTTATAATAATAAACTCGCACTGCACTTTGACAACAAATAGTAAACAAATTCGTACTTACGCCTTGACTTTGCCATTCAGTTCACAGTATACCTAGGTATATCTGCTTGTTTTGCGGTGTACTTTTTTGATTTGAAACAAGAGTACCTTTTTTGTGTAGAATTGAATGTTATGTCATGTTTTTTTATTACTATAATGTTTATACAGGCCAGACAAAAAAATTATGGCCACATTAATGAACCAACGTTATAGCAGGTGGCGCCACCTAGTGTCAATGATAAAACTAATATTATTTTCCTATTAGGCATATTAAGTAATAGCAAGATACCAAATTTCACTTAAATCGGTTAAATAGTTTTCAATATATCCCTAAAAATAATATAAAAAATAATGAATCACCCTGTAGATCGAAAAATAGCAATATTTTGTATAAGCAATTTGAGCTCAAACGCTTTATTTTGATGTCAGCTATCACCCATTAGCTAATGTCGAATTAATTATGGGACACCCTGTATGTTACATTTCGCGTTTCTTATAAATAAAATTATTACATTTCTGGGTAATAGATAACAAAAAATGAAGGTATACTGTTCAAGAATTAGAATATTTGGTTAAAACTCTGTCAGACAGGATAAATAACCGTCTAATTGGTAATGGAGATAACAAGATAGTGATTTTGACGATTTTCATTAGCTGACACTCTGTATGATGTGAGTTTATCAAAATGGCCAATATGTACTCCAAGTCCATGTGCATAGACCATGTGTATGTTACCCTGCATTCAAAAATCATTACAAGTTGTACGAAGAAGCAACTGACATATAAATTGCCTAATAGTACAGGTTTTACCTTTAGACCTTTATTAAATATAATAAATTCTGTATCCGTTTATGTTCCAATAACACTCAAAACTGTTTCAGTAACTTCTGTACAAATTAATTACTCTGTGCATATTTTTTTGACCAAATATATTAGGTGATAATAAATATTTTTTACTTTAAAATAGTGTACCCAAAAAAGCTCTGTAGCAAACATGCAATACAAAAAAAAATGAAAAAAGAATATTTGTCAATAAACAGAGTTTTAAACATTTTTTGTGATTATATTCTTAAAAATCTATCAAATGAAATTTTTTAATCGAAAACACAAATTTGCACATTATAGGACTAAAAGAAACTTAGTCATATTTATTATATAAAATGCTATACAGGACAAACATAGACAAAATAGAAAAACGTGCGTTTGAGCATAAATATTCCAGAGCAACAACATTAAAGATCTGAAAGTTGTAAATAAAAACTTACTAATCAAATATAATTTATTAAGAATATATACTTATAAATTAATACTTACATAAATGAATAATCCTTGTCGGATAACTGATATAAATTACCCCAAAGCGTGAGATTCAAAACATCGTGTTGTTTCATTAGATGTCTAAAATTACCAAGAGTTATTCTTCCCAAATCTTCCACACCTTTGGCATTGATCAACAAATTACTTAACAGGAAAGTAATTTTAGGACCAAACTCATTTATCTCTTTCTCTTCGTCTTCGCCCAAAAATTTGGAGGGTTGTGCAGAGGGCGACAGCATAAGGTACTGGTAGTAGTGCCGGTACATTTCGTACGATAATCGTGGATCTTTTGTTCTATGGTACAATACTAGAGTACCACATAACTCTGTAGGTATGAGTACATTTTTGGTAAGCGGCATGTCACGTGTGGTAGAAATATTATGTCGTATTTGTAAGTGCATTAAATGATCTAGTAATGGTACAAGTTGTAATTCAAATTTGGTGCACGGTTCAAGATTGTGAGAATTAATTTTGATGCTAATTTCATTTATTTGCTCAATCTTTTTATCAAAATCGTTAAACCCGTAGTCTAATCCTGCTTTGAACTCTACCAGAGAAGATCTTAAACCTTTATTTCCATTGAAGGAGTTAAAAATATTCAAAACATCATTTCCTTTACGACTAGAATTGTAACGTTCACTTATCTCGTTGAATTTATAGATAATATCATAGTGTTCTTTGCTTGTATAAGGAGGAGGTCTATTGCTCGATTTCTGATAGTTTTTGCCCAGTTTATGCATAATCGAAAACTGTTTATCTAATTTACTATTTATTTGCTTTAGAATATCTTCTAAGCTTTCTAGTACTGGCAGATTTGTAATCTTTGAAACGGCCTGCACAGAAAATTTATAAAACCATCTGTAGTGTACAGGAAGTTCAGCAAAAACCTTTTGTAGCTGTTTTTGGTCCACATCTACGGAATAATTAAAGTGAAGAAGTTCTACCAACTTAGATTTCCAAAAAAGCATGTAAATCAAATCTATAATATCGTGATTATTAATATTTTCTGTCATATTCACAACAGTTATTAAAAAATCGTTGTAGGCTTTAGTTAGATTAGTAAAATTTTGAATAACAACATCGCCAAAGCGGTCTTCAATTAAACCGTGTTGTAAATATCGAGAATATTCAACTAGAGTTAGCTTGCTTCCTTTTTTTGGTTTAATAAAATTCAATTTCTTGCCATCGAACTCTATTCTATTTCCAGAAATATTAGATAAGTTGGTATTTTCTAACAAAGTATCAACACTGAAGAACAAAGGCAACATTAAGGTGTTGCTTTCAAAAGTATCTTTCGATGTAGATATTTCTGGAATCCAGTTGTGGTCAATGGGCAAACTTAGGGCAGTTGAACTCCTCTGGCATATATACAATAGCTTATTTGTTATATTTAACAGCAAATTTTGCAATGGTGGAGTTAAATGTTGAATAGATTTAATTTTTGCTTGTAAATAGGAATGCCGAACACTTATATCTTCCAAGGAAGTTGTAGAATAAAAGCAAAAGAGCAAATGTCCAAGTTTAACGTCTACATCTGCGCAAGTTTTGACTACATTCTCTAAATAATCAAAAAGCAAGACAGACTGTTGTTTAATCTTCTCGATAGATGAATTCAGAGATATTTCTCGTGTTTTAAGTGTTGCATTTGAGTCAAAACAAGCTGGGACTGTACCGGATTCGGTATTAAGTAATTTAGTGATTTCCTCGCTTATAACAGTTTCAAAATTAGTGCAAGTAAATTCACAGGGTGACCTAGTTTTGTAATAAATTTCCAGTATTGTACTTGTAAAAGTCTCTTTGCTATCTACACCGTATTTTAGTTGCTGAGCTGCTAAAGTTGAGACTTGAATTAGCTCGTTTACATTTGGTCTTTCGCCTATGATGAGTTCGGAAATAAAATTGTGTAGTTTTATTAGCATTTGTGCATGGAATGAGCTTAGTCCTTCTAGCTGGATTAAACTACTTCTGTCGATGTCATGTGAGCGTTGCAGTTCTCCTTCGTTTAATAGGTAGATTTCTATGCCTCTATTTCTCATAGCCCTAAAATTTAAATGGTACATTTAATTTTAGAAACACCAAAATTAGAATTAAATCTATGGCATAAAGAGGATTTTTTAACTAATTCTTACAATATACATTCGGAATAATCGATAATAATACATCGAATTAGGACACAACGGGTACGGCACAATAAAATATACAATCATTTAAGAACTTAGCCTTTTTTACGCGGGTTAAGGAAGATATACACAAGACACAATCCCTTCTATAATAGATAGTAGTTTAGAATGTATGCCCAATAAAAACCTCCATTTGTAGAGAAGGATATGATGGAAAATCCATGTGGCAGTACTTCAGCCTCATTCGCTCTCCATCACATCTGCTCCAGTCTAAACTGCAACATTCTGGTCCAGAAAGATCAATTTGGATTCAAAAAAGGAAGAAATTGTAAGTCAGCTGTAACTGGCAAGATTAATTAGTTAAGCAAAAATCGATTTTAACAGGAATAGAAGAAGCGAAATGGCTACATAGAAAAAGTCTATGACACAGTTTGGAAAGAAGCTATATCTTCAAGATATAGAGACTAAGATTACACTCATACCTTGTCAATATATGTGATGTATACATAACCAGCAGAACTTTTTAGGTAACAGCAGACCAGAAGATGTCTAGGATGTAAGTAGTTTACGAAGGGATTTCTCAGGGTAGCATGATATCGCCGTTATTACATATTTTTGTTTCAGACCTGACCACTGATGACGAAACTAACATGACGGTATACGTAGATGACACAACAATCTACACAGCATCAAAGGTTCCCAGAATAATAATCGGAAGATGATGAGACATTCTTTTTCTGAGTTTTCAATCAACAAACCAACAAAAGAAAATATAATCCAAGTAGATGTCGTCAAGTGTCTAAAAGTCCACCTCGACACAAGAAATCAAGATTAATGACAGAGTAAGAAAATCTAATTACATCAAGCTAACGTTAAAGCCACGACTTTGTATGCACATAGATCCAATATGAAATTACGCAGCAGAGACCAACTGGAAGAAGTTAGACAGAATAAAGGCGGCGCGTTACACTCATCGATGGATCCCAATGACAGAATACAGTGCAACCATCCGCGTAAGGATCCAGTATACACTATTGAGGGAAAAGACCAGCAAATTCTATCACAAGGGTACAAGAAGACTGCCTTCTAAAAACTACAGACATCTTCACAAACAAGAGGGTGTAACGATTGTACAGGCGATTATTAACAACAACCAAGAAGAGATGTAGGTAGAGCGCCGAAAAAGTAACTACTGAAACAGACGTTTAAAAGCTCAGCGGTAGTAGATTCCGGAACTCGAAACCGCATATAGAGGTTGGTGATAGAGGCAGTAAGGCCATAAAAGAAAAGAAGATCGAGAACAAAATATATTTTTGATTATATAAATGGTTAGGTAGGGCAACAAACTTTTTTATTTTTTCATTCTTAGTTTTTATTTTTTACGTTTGATCGAGAGTGGCGGCTGCACTCAGCATTTGTTCTTTCTAGTAGGAGCGGCTGCTCCTATAATAAAACTCGCCAACCTACACGGCCAGCGTAGCATTTGAAGCCCAATTTCCCACAAAAAGAAAATGATAAATGAGAAAACAGTTCACGCTTTGCTTTACAAAAAAACTATCCAAGTGTGTAAAAAAAATCGTGTCCTTATTTAACAGCTTTATAGAAATTGACTTCATTTGTGGCAAAATTCAAAAATTGCATACAAAAGCTGCATTCTAATACCTATTAAAAAACCTGGGAAACCAGAAAATTGCAGTAGATCATATAGACCAATATCCTTAACCTCTTGCTTCCTAAAGACGTTAGAAAGATTAATAAAAAATAGAATCGAACATTGGTTAGAGCAAGAACATATCCTCCCAAAATCTCAGTATGGATTTCGCAAATCGAAATCAACCCAAGATGCCATAACTGCCTTAGTCTCATCCATACTAATAAACTTTACTGATAATATGTATACTATGACTGCTTTTGTTGATGTCTCCTCTGCATTCGATACCGTTAACTTGGACATTATGCATACAAAGCTATTAGACATTGGCTTCCCCATCACCATAGCTAGCTTTCTGAGGACATTGTACACTAATAGATCAACTGTCTTAAAAATCAACCATTCCATCTCTCCACCACGTCTTACAAATATAGGACTTCCACAGGGTAGCATATTAAGCCCAATACTATTTATTTTATATAATATGGATATAGAAAATTGTATTAATAGCCCAACAAAAATTATTCAATATGCTGATGATGTAGTAGTTTACACAGCCCACAAATCATTGGATATATGTAAAAATAATTTTGATCTCTCAATTAAAGCTGTTCTTAATCACTATGAAAATATTGGTTTAGAAATATCAGAATCTAAAACAGAAATTTGTATTTTCTCTAGAAAACATAAAATTCCACAAGGTCATCTGGAAGTAGGTCAAATTCGATTCCCTATTAAAAATTATATAAAATATCTCGGTACTTATTTAGACAGAAAACTTCTATGGAAGGATCAAATTCATCAAGTCATAAAAAAGTCTGAAAATGCAATGAACATTCTAAGAGCCTTTTGTAGAACTAACTGGGGCACTGATCCAAATGTAGCACTTTTATTTTACCGTACTATGATTCGTCCCATTTCCGATTACAGTTGTCATTTGTATGGAACTGCCGCAAACACACATTTAAATAAATTAGAAATACAGAAAAATAAATGCCTTCGGCTTTGTCTTGGATATTTGAATTCTACACCTGTTAATATAATGGAAGTTGAGGCGATAGAACCACCTCTGAAATTTCGACGGGGTTTTTAAGTGATAAATTCATTACTAGAGCCATAGGGAAAAATACTAACTATCTACAGGATATTCATATTTTATCAATTTTAGATCAAACTCATAAATATTGGACAAAGAAAAAATGTTCTCTTCTGGTAAATAGTTACTTGAGGATATCTCAATACCGACATACTTTCTATTCGTATAAAAATCAAGTTTCACCTATGTATTCCCATATATTAGAAGAGCTTTTCTCAAAACATATTAATACCTTTCTTATGGAAAGTAATTTAGATCCAGTCGCTTTTCAATCATTTACACAGCATAAATGGCCAAATTATCAGTTTTACTTTACAGACAGATCTAAAGTACAACACAAAGTAGGATGTGCATTAATTAATATTCAAAGTGGATTTAAAAAATTATTGAAATTGCCAGCTGAATCATCAATATACACTGCTGAAATGACAGCGATTCTTCTTGCATTAAGGCATATACATAGTAACGAACCCTGCAGCTGCATAATATTTACAGACAGTAAGAGTGTCGTCGACAGACTAACAAACGTACATAGGTCCAAACAACTAAATCATATAGCACTAGAAATTATGACTATTTACAATAAAATTACAAATTTCGGGAAAAACATTATTATATCATGGATAAAGGGACACGCGGGCATTAAGGGCAATGAAATAGCAGATAGCCTAGCCAAATCTGCCCTAGACATAGGCGGAGAAGCTCCCTTGAACTTACTCCCCTTTTCAGACATTGATATAATTAGTAAAGGGCATAAAAAGAAAAATGGCAAACACATTATCGAAACACGAGAACTGGAAATAATTACAAACAAATGCAGCCTGAAATACCCATAAAAAGATGGTTTCATACTCTATCAAATCGCCATTTCATAAGGGTTATAAACAGATTAAGATCTAATCATGGTCTTACCCCCCTTCATATGTACAAGTTGGGTCTCGCGGAGTCACCTAATTGCAAGTGTGGAAAAGAAGGTAACCTATTACATATTTTCCTTGAATGTTCCCATGAATCAGTAAACATAAACAAATTTTATGATAATCTTATTACATTGAAAATTCCACTTCCCGTCTACCTGAACAATTTGATTTTCTCCAGAGATATCAATATATTAAAATCAATTTACGAACATTCCAAAAACTGTAAATATAAATTGTAGCTTAAAACTAACCCTTATATTTAAGTAAATATTGTATTATAGCAGAAATATATATATATATATATATATATATTTATATATTTATATATATATATATATATATATATATATATATTTATATATTTATATATATATATATATATATATATATATATATATATATATATATATATATTTATATATATATATATATATATATATATATATATATATATATATAAAGAATTAAAAAATAATAAAAAAGAAGATGTAAACCTCCGAGATGTTGAATCGGGTTATGTCTTCGCGCAGGAAAAAAAAAATAATTATTAACAATGTAATTAATATAATTAAAAAATGTAATTTATTAACAATTGCACGTTAGATTGTATGGATGATTGTATGTTTATTCCTCTAACTGTAAAAAATTCCTCCGATTGTTAAAATTGTTTATCTTTAAATTTGTCTGGCTAATTAGCTCGGCCAAGGCCATCAAACTAAAAAAAAGCTGCACTCTTTAGATTTAAAACACATTTGAATTAATTTTTACCGTCGAGTCGATACAAATTTAATTTAAAATTGATTTCGCGCGCGTAACTGACATTCAAAATCGCCGGTCTCTTCAAGCATTGTTTCTGAGAGATCATGCTACACAAAAAATGCTAATAAACATTTTTGTTGTGTTTGTTCAAAATTATTTCAGCTACATTTATTGTTTGGAACATGTTTCTACATCGTACAGATTCTTGGTAAATCGATTTTTTCCGATTTCCTCCCTTCTAGGGAGGGTTTAAGGTGGAAACTAGGGAGTAGAAGTAGCGAACTTTTTTGCATATTTTTGGGATCCCAAAACTAATATTCGAAGCAAAATTCAGCTTGCTGCTCTCGTTTTTAGAGATCACATTTCTCTATATAAGTTTTAATATTAAAAATTGCATTATATTACGGAGCTAGTAGCTAAAGTCATGTCATATTCGTCGGGAATACCACCGATCCAATATAGAGAGGAGCTAATCAAATAAGCGTACATAGTATTGATATAATTTCGGCCTCCTTGCGGTAAAATATTCTATGAAATGAAACACATTGATATCGAAATTTATTAGTTAATATGACCAAGCTGTTGTTTCTCATATTGTGGCCAAAAAACTGACAAAAGTAGATAATAAAAAGCTTCTCGTTCACAATACTTAACTAAGACCACGTTGATTAACTGATGAGCTTCATTGGGAGTGGGTAAGGATATAAATGATAGAAAAGTACAGTTCAAAGACAAATAGATAAAGGATAAACGATAAACGTTTGACAAAGAAAAACAATAAAAACAGGGAATACAGCTAAACTGCAAAACAAAATGGGCGCCAATGAGTTTTAACCTGAAACTCATGAAGGAACTCAAGAATTAATAAGTTAAACAAACATTTTTAACATTTCGCATCAGAAACACCGACATCAGAAAACATATCAGTAAATTATCAATAAAAATCCCACAAACCCACAAACTGTACCAAAGGTTACATATTCAATAATATACTTTAAAAGAGTTATATCGTCTCTAAACAAAAATAAAATAATAAACCTCAAAAAATAGTTTATCATTACTTAAAAATTTTATTAATAAATACATATTAATAAAAAAAGATGATGACACATATTGTCACCAATAATCTTAGACTTAAAACAGAGTATAGTCTTAAAATAATTTAAATATTAATTAAAACTTTAATCTCTTAACATAAAAAATATTAATCAAATAAATATTTGACTGCAGCCTAAACGAATCTCATCGGCCATAGTCTCCTTTATTCTAATATTACCGTTACAAAGAAAAACAGGAATTTCCATAATTCCTATACTTAATTAATTATTCATGAAAATGGCTTATAAAAATTTAAATTCTTTAAAAAAAGTTCGGTAAAATGAAATAGAAATAGGTAAGTTACCCCTTACCCCTTAAAACCAAAAGTCTGGTTCCGCTACGTTGATGATACATTTATCATCTGGCCCCATGGTCAACATACCCTTTCTCGCTTCCTAGATCATCTTAACTCACAACATTGTGTAAAAGGAGTATAAAATTCACAATGGAAGTAGAAAATAATCGGTCCCTTCCCTTTCTCGATGTGTTAGTCACCTCCAAGCCCAATGGCCGATTGGGTCACTCTGTTTATAGAAAAAAGACTCACACGAATCGTTACCTACATGCTTCATCACACCACCATCCTGCCCAAAAGAATTCTGTGATCAACTCTCTCATCCATCGGGCCATTTCGATTTTTGAACCTGACAACCTTAGAGAAGAACTTGGCCATCTGCAAAAAACCCTTGTCGCCAACGGTTACTCCAAGTCCACAATTCAAAATATTACACACCGACATCTACATCCCCCTTTACACCCTAGGACGACAAATTCAGAATCTTCGGGTAATACTCCTGTGGCTTTCCTTCCGTATATTCGAAGTGTCACTGATAGGATTGGCAAAATTCTTCGCAAAGAAGGTATCAGGACCACTTTTCGACCACCCAAGACAATCTCACAATATCTACCCTCTCCTAAGGACCCATTACCGCCCCTATCTTCCTGTGGTGTCTATTCTATTCCTTGTTCACGTGGACATGTGTATATTGGCCAAACTGGTCGTTCCGTCAAAACTCGGATTCAAGAGCATCAAAAATGCATTCGATCAGGTCTTTTCTCCCATTCTGCAGTTGCAGAACACTGCCAAGAAAAAGGTCATTCCATATTGTTCGAAAAAACCCATATTATTTCTAAGAGCCCCTTCTTTTATTCCAGGAAAATCCGCGAATCTCTAGAGATCCGAAAAAATCCACATAATATCAATCGAGAGGAAGGATACTACTTGTCTCCCATCTGGAATCTCAGTCTAGAGCCGCCGTCCGGTCCCGCTACCACGGTGCAGCCACATGATTGGCCAGCGCGCGCTGCTTGACGTTCGCGCCACGGAGTATGCCGATACGTCCCGACACGACAGGTCACCGCGACTATAAATAGAGCAGTAGCGGAGTAATCGTCGGATTCACTCCCCGCCTCTCGACGCGTTAGTGTTCTGAGCTGTTAGACGTGAATCCCTGTCCTGGCATTTGGTTTTCATCTCTGGCTGCGTTAAGTAGTTGAGTTACTGTGACCAAATGCCCATCTTGGTAGTTAGTATTCGCCTCTAGTTGCGTTGAGTAACTGAGTTACCGTTGCTAACTACCCATCTTCCTGTCTTTTAGACAGGACAAATTAGACCTAAATTAATTAAGTTTGGGAAGGGAAAGTGTAGTTTGTTTCAAAATATTTTTTCTATTGAGAAAATAATACCGCTTAACTAAATTATTAGCTAAAACCAATATAATTGTGAGAGAGATTATGTGAGATTAATACTTGAATGAAGCGGTTTAAAAGAAAACGTATCTTATAACGTCAAACCTAATTAATTACGCCAAGGGAGACTTTTAAGTACAAACACTTATACTTGTTCGAAGCGATACAAATTAATATTCTCTAGACATAGTACTGACAATACAGCTCCATCAAGAGTTTTAAATTCAAAAAATTCAACATACTTGAATAGGTAATACTATTTTATAGAAGTAAGATCATCAACAAGAGCAAATCCATAGTATAGTTTCGCTCTTTCAGCCCCATATAAATAATTATATCAAGATTCTTGGGAGAAATAAAATAAACTAAATATTGTGGAACTTTTTCAGAACAAAAATACTAAGAATAATAGAAGTTTTTCCAAGTTCCATGTGAGAAACAGGAAGTAAAAAACTACTGCCAAGAGTTATTGTTTTAACAACGCTCCAGTTGACTTCTACAATTTAAAATTGTATGTGCTTGTTAGAGTATAATTTTGGGATTAACCTTCTTCATTATTTTCTTTTTTTTTTTATAAGCAAAAATGCTTGTTCAATGTCGATTAATGCCTCTATTGGAGGTTATCACTCCATCTTTTGCGTGGTCGCCCGATACTTCTTCTACCTTTTGGTGATTTGTCCCTCGCTATTCTGACTAATCGGGTCTCTTCCATTCTGTTTATGTGTTCGTTCCATTCCTTTTTTCTGGTCAGTGTCCACTCATTTATTTCTGGTATATTGCATTTTCTTCTGATCTCTTCACTCCTCATTCGATCCCTCAGTGTGTTTCCTGTAATTCTCCTCAGTAAACGCATCTCCGCTGTTTCTAGTAGTTGCTGAGTTTTGGAGGTATCCGGTCTTGTCTCTGAAGTGTATGTCATTATTGGTCTTATTGTTGTTGTAGATTCTTGATTTCACGTCGGTATTAATGTGGGGATTTCGCCATATCGTGTTATTAAGACAACCTGCTATTTTATTAGCTTTTTGTACTTGATTTTTCACTTCCTTCTCCACATCTCCGTAGCTAGACAGTGTAATTCCTAGGTAATTTGTCTCCATTACTTGCTCAATGCTGATACCGTCGATTTCCAGATTACATCTAATTGGTTCTTTACTGATTACAATTGTTTTAGTTTTCTGTGTAGAGATCACCATATTAAAGTCCTTTGCCCTTGTGTTGAATCTATGGGTTATTCTTTGTAGATCGTCTTCACTGGATGCAATTAGGGCCGCATCATCTGCATAGCAGAGTATTCTGATTTCTTTGTTCCCCATTTTGTATCCTCTTCCTTTATTAATAGTATTGATAATTTCATCCATGATTAGATTGAATAGCGTTGGACTAAGCGAGTCTCCTTGTCTTATTCCATTGCCCATATCTATTGGATCTGTAAGCCGGTCATCTATTCTGACTTCCATATTGTTGTTCTGGTAAATGTTCTCTATTGTTTTGTAACATCTAGTGGAATTTCTCTATCGTAAAGAAGGTGAATTACATCTTTAAGCTTTACTTTATCGTACGCTTTCTTCAGGTCTATTAGACATATAAATGCTGGTCTGTTATACTCTAATGCTTTCTCGGTAATCTGTTTTATGATGAATACTGCATCTGTGCACGATCTTCCTGTGCGAAAACCCTGCTGTTCATCCGCTAAGGTAATTCTCTGATTTATTTGGCCTTGCAATATTTTGGTTGTAAGCTTCAAAGTGGTGTTTAATAAGTTGATACCTCTGTAGTTTTCAGGTTGTTTTTTATCTCCTTTTTTGTATAGTAGGATAAGCTCGCTTGCCTTCCACTCTTCAGGTATTTTATAATGTTTGATGATTTTGTTAATTAGTGCTGTTAGCTGTTCTGTTAATGCTTCTCCACCATATTTCAATAATTCATTTGGAATTCCATCTTTACCTGCAGCTTTTCTGTTCTTCAGTTTTTCTAAAGTTTGTTTTACTTCTTGTACGGTTATCTCGACTTCCTCGTTTGTAATGATTTCTGGTGTTTCTGGTCTCTGGGATTAACCTGTAAGATCAAAATAATATGTTTTAAAATTATGATATATTTTTGTACCTTGAAATTTCTCCGTTTCTTGGATCCATCGTAAGGAAGAGCCTAAAATCTTTATGCGGTTTTATTTCTACCATTTGACCGTTGGCGTCCACTCCTCTTTCAGAAACCGTTAGAACTCCATTAGGTTCTAGAAGGGCGTTTAGACGGTCTAGAACAGCAGAGCTACACAAGTTCACGTTGTCTACTAGTAACCAGGAACCATCTTGAAGACACTACAATTATAAAACCAATTATAAGAAATAATAAATAATTGAATCCTACTTTATGATACAATATTAAAAAAATAAGATTTTTTTAGTACAAGTTTTAAATTAACCGAATTAACGGTTATTATTCTAGGATAACACAAAAATTTGAATATCATCAACAATCGATAATTCGAACAAATAAAAAAGCCATCGTGATTTTATCCAACTAATACACTAAAATTTTAGCTGAAGGAGCATTTAATGATAAGAAAAGAAGAGTCACAAGTCCAGAAAAAATGCACACAGAGAAACGTTTGAACTGAACAGAGTAGTACTCTACTAGAGACTTTTCTAGATATATCTTTTCAGATATCCAATCTCCGATAGGAGAGGCACTCAAAGAAGAAGAAGAGACTTTTCTAATGAGTTGTTGCAGTTAACATACACATGTCTACAACAATAGAAAATAAAGCAACCACACGCTCAAAATATAGGCAAATTAGTTTAATGAGTAATGCCTTAAAGATGTTACTAAGAATTGTACAATAAAGCTTTAATAAATCTTATTTCACTCAAGACTTTTTCTGTCATCTTCAGCTTCCTTCACTTGTTCTTCTATCAGTTCAGCTCTGTCCGCATGGTCTATCGACCTATTTGCTTCTATTGATAATTCGACAATGGATCACCGATGGTATAAGTAATCTCCATTTGTTGGTCAACAGCTACAGGTAGAAGAACCGACACATTGCCCTGAAGATGAGTAATTAAGTCCGAAGGCGGAAGAGTTAAATTAGTCAACGATATTGAGATTTGCAAAGCGACGAGATGACTACCACGTTAAAGATTCGGATGGATATTCTTAGTATAAATCATCATGGACCCACTAGTCGATAATTTACTTAATGATCATGAATCTCGAAATAAAAGATCCGACAGGAGAAGAAAATCAGATTTAGACGACAGGGCCTCTTAGGTCGTCATCAATGTTAATCTCTGTCAAACAAATAAGAATAACTCTATAGCTTTGAAAATTGAAACATGAAACGTAAGAAGTTTATACCAATTAGGAAAACTAGATAACACATAACAAAAAGCTGTTTATAACTTTCGTTTCCTACTCTGATCAAGTATTGATAGTGTCTCCCAACTCTCATTTAAAACGTAACTTAGATATAATCCAAGTATATGCACCAATTGCAGATAAGGATGAACACACCATAGAGAACTTCTATGAACAAATTGGCAGTTGTCTTAAAGCTGACTAGAAGACATAATTTTAATATTAAATTGGGAGATTTAAACGCTAAAGTGAGCCAAGGAGAAGTGGAGAATTGTGTTTGGCGATACGGATTCGGAAAGAGGAATGAATGTGGCGATCGTAGTAAATGGTTGATTTCTGTATTAATGAGGAACTCATAATTGCAAATACCTTGCTCAAACTTCCTAAACATCATCATCTGACATTAACAACAAAATAGTCAGAAATGAAATGGATTATATTATCGTCAAATGAAGATATAGAAATTTGGCAAACTATTGGCCAAAAATAGGGAAAAATTCAACATGCCCTTGCGTCAGTTGAAAAAGAATCCCTCAAAACACTTGGGGAAAAAACGAAACCTTGGATGAGAGTGAAACTCTTGAACTTATCAAAGAACGAAGAAAACATAAAGAAAAGTACCTGAATAATTACAAACAAATCCAGAAATTCATCAGAAAGAAAATTGACGAGACAAAAAAGAGAGATGGGTCTGCGACAGATGCAAGCAAATAGAAGAGCTGGATAAATGGTATGATAGGTTAGGACTACGCCTAAGAATGCTTCGGTGTTATGTATTCACTACTCTTCTTTATGGCTTGGAACCATAGACCTTAAAACAAGTGCATCTAAATAAGTTGGCCGCCTTTGAATTTTGGTGTTACAGAAGAATCCTACGATTATCATGAACTCAAAGAATGTCAAACGCAGAAGTTACTAGAAGACTAAGAAATGAAGTTGAAATAATATTGATTATCAAAAAAAGAAAACTTGAGTACTTAGACCATGTTATAAGAGAGCAAAGATACTCATTATTACAGCTTATTATGCAATGCAAAATTCGAGGAAAGCGAAATGTGGGAAGACGAAAAAATGTGTGACTTAAGAACTTGAGCGAATGGTTTGAAAACAGTGGTGCAGAACTATTTAGAGCGGCAGTCAACAGGGTCCGCATAGCCATGATGATTTCCACCCTTCGATAGAAGATGTAACTTAAAGAAGAAGAATTCGAAGTGTTGGATGTATTTTCACCCCTTTCGAGGTCTTCCTATGATTCGTTCTCTTTTAATATTTTATAATACTATCGAGTTTTTTATAATTTTTTGTATACTGTAGGAAATGTCTATATTTCTTATTTCTTCATTACGTAATTTGACGAGTCTTGTGCATTTTTTATACCTTTTTAAACTCATCTTCGAAGCTTAAATTATTGTATTTCTTTGTGATTTTCGAAGTTTTGATGTCTGCCAATACAGACCTATCATTTATCTATAATGTTTATCATTAATTTAATTTTTGTTTTATATTTTACAGATTTTATTATTCCATATACGATGTCTATGTCGTAAAGATTAATTATTTTATCTTAATTATTACAATCGAAACAAATATCAATCTATAGAAAACAAACTCATTATCTTTGGAAGTAGACAACTTCCAAAAATTTTAAGATATTTTCATGATGATGATTTTCAACAGCGATTACTAATAATATTTTATTCTTTGTTCCTTTTAGCTAATCTCCTTAATCGTCAGTTTTGTCCGTATTCTTTTTCCACTTCTCAAATTGATTTATTTTCCCTTTATTTTTTCAATTTTGTGAGAACATTTTCTTAATTTCTACCAGTGCTCGACGAATTTTAACCTGCTTTGGACATCACACTGGCTTCTACGATATTTCTAAACAGGGTCATAAGCTGGACTGTTTTGGAAGAAGAATCGATCAGCTTTCACAAGGATGTGAGTTTTGAAATAGCTAGCAAAAGACAGAAACGTAAAAATGGGATATCAATCTAAAGACATGTTTAAATGAGATTTTTGTAGTTGCTTTTGGTTTGATTGGTCCGGGATGTGAGGATGTGCGTGAGTTAATTGAGGGTCTGAGTGATGCACAGGATTTGGCTTGTGTAAGATCAAATGGTAGGTATGAAAGAAAACAACCATACTGGTAGAACGAGCAGCTTGAAAATCTGAGGACAAACTGCATGACAGTAAGAAGGGAGTGTAAGAGGTTAAGAAGAGTACACGCACGAGATTTGGAAGTGAGAATAAATGAATTAAAGCGAATGCAGAATAAATACAGGAATGAGATAAGAAGATCTAAGAAAGAAAGTTGGAGTAACCTGCTTCAGGATCTCGAAAGGGATATCTGAGGGCAGGGCTTCAAGATTGTCTATACCGAATTGAAGGGGAAAAAGACACCCTACTCCCTGCCTGAGGAGGAGAAACTCCGTTTAAGACGGGAACTCTTTCCTCAGGTGGAGGATAGGCGTGAAAGGGTTATTGGTTTCGTAGATGCGGAACCTTTCACTGAGTTGGAACTCGGCGAGGCTGTTGGACGGATGAAGATCCGAAAAGCACCTGGCATAGATGGAGTCTTGCCAGAGACAGTAAGACCACCATAAGGACAGTAAGACAGTGAATATATCAAAAAGTCCACCATAGATGCGGTCACAGAAGTAACCTCTTAAGTTACGCAGGATACAAAGAGATGGGTGGCTCTCATCCTGCTTGATGTCAAGAATGCCTTTAATACGACATCATGGGAAAAATCATGTCCAGGCTGAGAGAATTGCGCGTTAGTGAGTACCTGGTCAACTTAATTGACAGATACTTTACTAACAGGTCCATAAGAGAAAAATATACCAGCATCAGTTTGTCGCAGGGTGTTCCGCAAGGTTCAGTACTAGGTCCCATCCTGTGGAATGTCCTGTACGGCAGAGTATTGAGGCTACAGATGCCAGGGGGATGCACTCTTGTAGCTTATGCCGATGATCTCGCATTGGTTGCGAAGGCGAGTCAGAAAACCAACAAGGCTAATGCGGCTAACACAGCCCTGTGTCGCATCAGTAGGTGGATCAGAGAGGACGATCTACAACTAGTGCCTCAGAAAACTGAGGTGTTAGTTCCCAAAGGGACACAAGAAAAATCTTCACTTCGCTTTATAGTGGAAGGTTGCACTGATTAAATCAATTAAGTATCTGGGAGTCTGGTTGTCGGAAGGACTAAGGATCGGAGTACATATCCAAAAGACAGTAAAGAAGGCGAACCGAAATCTGAAGGCGTTGATACGGCTGATACCAAAAATTGGAGGCCCAGGCAGCAAAAAAAGGTTTAACACCTTTCCAGTTTTATAGTCAGTGATAACCTACGTTGTCCGTGTGTGGTGTAGCGTACTAAACACTGCGAAATACGCTAAGCTGCAAATCGTTTTGTTGTGCAAAGAGCGAGCGAGGATGTATGTGAGGAGGATAGATATAAATATAGATGAGAATGAGAGAGAAATAACGATAGTAGAGTGGCAGAGATAATGGGCGAATGAGATTGGAAAGGCAAGGTGGACGAAGGAGTTTATTCCCGATCTAAGATATTGGTGGGAATGTAAGTTCTAGAAACTAGACTACTTACTGACGCAGTTTCTGGCCGGACATGGTAGTTTTGGCACCTTCACAAATAGAATAGGCAAATCTGCCTCGGCAGACTGTACTGTTTGTGGGGTACAGGACGCTCCCGCTCACATTTTAACTGCCAGAGATGGGCAAATGAGAGGGGAGATTTCGAGAGGCGAATGGATTTCGGGCTGGATGAAAGAAACATTATAAATATAATGTTGAGGAGAGAAAGAATGGAGAGAAGTACACTGTTTGATTTCTAGGATGATGAAAAAAAAAAGGAGTAGGCGGACAGAAGGGGAAATTAAGCCAGGGATTTGAAAATTATGCTTAATATTATCTATTAGTTTATGGCCTAACGTCTGAAATATTTTCTGATTTACGGTAATAGGTATGGATATTTATAAATTTTTAGTTTTTTATTTTAGTTGTGGCAAGACCAGCTCTCTGAAACGGTGGTTAAAGTTTTTGAATGTTGCCCCTCCCACCGTTGCCTTTTAGAATTCAATGGATACCTTCTTCTCTTACTGGAATCTGGCAATATGGCAATTAAAAAAAATTCTTATTAGATTTTAGTCTACGTCAATCCGATTAACCATATGTAAACATTATTTGGATTTGAGGCGGAATAATATTGAAGCAGTTAAGAATATATTAGTAGTGGGCAGTTAATTATTGCCCACTACGAAACTGGACACAATTAGTTACATAATAATCAATAGATTAATGTAACATTTAATTTTTATATTCACTACAACACGACTAAAAATCTGATACCCTAGGAGGTAAAAGAAATTAGGAGAAGAAGAAGTAAGCGATGTCTGCTTTTCCAAACTCTTTATTATTTTTCATGCCTCTCAACGTTCTCTTTATTTCAGGTTTACTAATATCCTATTGAATCTCAGACCTTATTTTTTATTTTAATCTGTATCCATTTTTTAATGTATTCCATTGTCCCCACTTATAAGGATTTGATTTTCATTTTTAATTTTGTTTATTTAAATTTTCCAAGGCATGATTTTAAAAATAAATTTTAAGTTTAACTACATTTTAATAAAGTTAAAAAGCTTATTTACTTACTTTTATCAATACAGAATCCACCCATTCGAATTTTCCTCCAGCATTAAGTGAAGATTCATTCTTTATTGCGAAGGATATTTTTTGCAGACGGTCCATTAAAGCTGCAACTATTGATTCTTGATAGTACGAGCTGATAAACTGGGCGACGTCCTCCAATCTGCTGATCTTTCTTAGGAACAGTTTAATTTCTTCTTCCATTGAAGAACTAGGAGTATCTAAAAAGTATTTTCACATTAACATTGTAAAAGACAGCAATTTTTTTCAGTAATAAAATGCCAACAATAAAAAAAATCACAAATGCAGCAAACACAAAAAAATTAAAACACAAATTGTTTAATTATATTCCAGAAGCATTAAAAAATGCTTTAGATGCATTAGACTTGGTATACCTGCCAGAACTACCCTCAGATATAAATTGGATGGTAGTCGGCCTGAAACAACTAGTAAAGTAGGACCAAAGTGAGTGTTAGGAGACAATTCAAAGAAACGTGATGCTCTTGAATGAAAGGTTTGTGTGAAAAAGGTTTCTCAGTGACCAAAGATGGATTGTGCTATTCTGTTCAAAAAATATTAACTAAAGGAGAATAAAGTTAAGAAAAAAGAAAAAAACAAGATAAAAAGAAAAGAAAATCAACAGAAACATGTTGAAGCACAAGAAATAAAAAAGAACCTGAAAATATAGTCTCTCTAAGAGGTATCCGGAATTTTATATTTTTCCTAATTTTAATAGATTTCATTTTTGTAAAATTTTAAGACAAAAGTAATGCATCAAGTACAAGGTAGCCCGTAGATGGTAGAGTCGTACAAGATGAGAAGAATTGCAATTCTAGACGACCACTAAACGCCCCGTCTGTGGAGCTCAATGCAAAAACGCAGGAACTTGTGCGGTGGGGAGAGACCTCATCATCACACAGCCAAATTTGTCCACTGTCGAACATAGGCCTCCTCAAGATGTCTCCACTCTTCTCTGTCCTGTGCAGCTGCGATCGAGTTTGTCACTATTCTTTTAATGTCGTCCGTCCATCTGGTAGGTGGTCTTCCACGATTTCGCTTGTCTGCCCTTGGCCGCCATTCTAAAATCTTCTTTGTCCATCTGTTGTCTCTCTGTCTTGCGACGTGTCCTGACCATTTCCACTTCAACTTCGTAATCCGTTTTATGACGTCTTCCACTCCAGTTCTTCGCCGTATCTCATCATTTCGTATTCGGTCTCTCAAAGTTACGCCAAGCATAGATCTTTCCATTTTTCGTTGTGCTACTTGTAACTTTTTTATTGATGCTTTAGTCAATGTCAGTGTTTCAGCTCCAGAAGTGAGCACCGGAAGTACCCACTGGTTAAATGGTTTTCTCTCTAGCTTTATTGGGATGTTTTCCTTAAACACGTCTTTTAGCTTGCCATAGGCTGCCCATCCTAAAGCTATTCTTCTAGATAATTCGCATGTTTGGTTGTCTCTACTTATTTGTATTTCGTGGCCCAGATATATGTATTTGTCAACAGTTTCCATATGCCAGTTTTCTAGTTTCAATGGTCCACTAGGTACTAAGTTGGTCATCATTTTAGTTTTCGCAAAGTTTATTTCCAGCCCTACTTTTTGGGAGACTCGTTGTAAATCTTGTAGCATTTCGTTGGCCTCCTTTAGCTCGTCGGTTATTGGAACTATGTCATCTGCAAATCGTAGGTGGTTCAGCCTTTCGCCATCGACACTCAAACCTTTGTTTTCCCATTCTAACATCTGGAATGCATGCTGCATTACGGCATTGAATAGTTTTGGTGACATGTTGTCTCCTTGTCTAACTCCCCTTTTTAGTTTTATTTTTTGAGTAGGGGTGTGGAGGTTTATTGCTGTTGTGGCATTTGCATATATATGTTGAATAATGCTGGTATATCGGTAGTCGATTCTACAATCTCTCAAAGCTCTTAAGATAGCTACTATCTCGATAGTGTCAAAGGCTTTTTTATAGTCAACAAATACTAGAACTAGTGGCCGGTTGTACTCTATAGTTTTTTTTAATAAGGGCCTTTAGACAAGTTAGATGGTCATTTGTACCATACCCAGGGGGGAAACCTGTCTGTTCTCTTGGTTGGCATGTTTCTAGTTTGTTCTCAATTCGGGCAGTGATAATTCGAGCAAATAATTTTAACAGCTGACTTAGAAGACTGATTGGCCTATAGTTTTCGAGGTCTGTTTGATCTCCTTTCTTATGCATGAGGAGCGTTATAGAATTATTCCATTCAGCTGGTATTGCTTGGTTTTCTAAGCATATATTGAAGAGCTGCTTGATTGTCCTGATGAGAGCAGAGCCTCCGATTTTTAGCGCATCCGCCACTACTCCATCTTCTCCTGGTGCTTTGTTTTTTTTTTCATTTTCTTTAGAGCATGGTAAATTTCAGCCGTTGATATGTCGGGAATATCTTCTGAACCTTGATTCATAATTTTTTGTTCTGTATGTTCTGTCGTGTTTAAGTCCAATTTATTTGTGTATAGTGTTTTATAGAAGTCTTCTACTATCTCTAGCATTTCGTCTCTGTTGGACGTTAGTTTGCCATTCTTTCCCTTAAGTCTGATGATTTCTTTTCTGCTGTTCGTCAATTTCCTTCTTAATATCTTCATGCTCTTGTTGTGCTCGATTGTCTGCGAGATTTTCTCATTTTTATATGCCCTTATGTCCTTTCTAATTGCTTTTGAGACCTCTTTGTTGATTTTATTTATGCTTTGTTGTTCTATACTCTTATCTTTTAGCATTTCTCTTCTTTCTTCCATTTTAAGTTTGGTGTTAGCAGCGATTCTCTCCTCTCTCTTGCTACCTGTACAACATTTTCTTTGAGCTTCTGCTATGGTATTAGTAATTACTTTATTTAGCTGATTTATATCATTTGTGGGGGACCTGTTTTGTAGACGTACCGTTATTTGATCTGCAAACTCTGTTTCATTTTTTGGTTGTGACCATGCTTTCAATTTTTTCTTTCTTATTAGTTTATTTCTCTCTTTATCGATGTTAATTTCTATTCTAGAAATTAACATCGATAAAGAAATTAACATCGATCACATCTGTGATCACTTCCTGTTGTGAAGCTGTTGAGTACAGTGACATCTTTAACTATACATTTTTTATCTGTTATTATATAGTCAATTTCATTTTGCGTTCTCCCGTCCGGGCTTCTCCATGTCTACCTTCTATGTTGTTTTTTGTAAAAGAAGCTATTCATTTGATATAATTTGTTCTACGGGAGAGACCTACGCGATTGAAATTCGAGCGTCGACCCATGAGCGGACGGCCTAAACTATTTTGTGGAAGGGCTGGCCACTCGATTTGAAATAACCTATATACGGGGTTTTTTAAAATTTAATACAACCCAATTTGAACAAGATGTAACCTATCCAACCCTTGACATGTTAAAATACAAGTCACTACCTTTTCAGTTTCTGATTTGAAAGCTTTCTGTACTACATATTATGATCTCCTTCTTCTTGATTAGAAATATTCCGTTCAAACCTGTAGATATTCTTCTCCAAGTGCCATCTCCGCGGCGAAGGTCGGCAATCATCATAGCTATTCGGACTTTTGAGACGGCTTCTCTGAAAAGTTTATTTTATGTACATCCGTACCACCCTCTCAGGTTGCGTAGCCATGACATTCTACGCCTCCTATGCTTCTCTTTCCTTGGATCTTTCCCTGCATAACCAGTTGGAGCAAGGTGTATTTCTCTCCACGTGTAATATGTTTGAGATATTGCAATTTTCTTGTTTTAATCGTATTCAAAATTTCTACTTCTTTATTAATCCTTTTCAGAACCTCTTTGTTTGTGACGTGTTCTGTCCACGATATTTTCAGAATTCTTTTAGACACCCACAGCTCGAATGATTCTAGTTTTTTCATTGATGTTACATTCAAGGTCCAAGATTCTATTCCATAAAATAAAGTCGAAAAACGTAGCACCTCGCCAACCTAACTCTTAGTTCCAATTTTAAATCCCTTGTACATAGCACTCTTCTCATTTTGTTAAAATTTGCTCTAGCGTGGGTCTAAGTTTATTTTTTTGTGAATTTTTTTCTTAATAGCAAATTTGATGCGGGTGTAGTAATCAATCATGTCACTTCTAATGTTTGAAATAATTTACAAAGTTTAACGTAGACTGTATTAAATATTCACCTATCTCAAAAAATAAAAAAAAACTTTCGAAATATCTAATTCTGGAACGCCTATACGTTGACATTTTTGTAATGAGATCCATTTTAAGTAAAAGGTAAAAAAATTCAAATGTTTATTGAATTCCTTAGGGATTCCGAACGACAAATGGCAAAATGTAATCACGGATATCTTTCCTTTATTTTTATCTTATTCTTCTCATCTTATAATGCAATAATCCAATCGACACAAGTTGCGAGGTGAATATCAAATCTTTTGAATCTTGCGATTTTAAATTAGAATATTCTCAAAATAAATTTCATTTTAGCATATTGAGCCTCGGAGTTTTATTTCATTTTAAAGATTGAATCAACGAATTTTGAAATCAATAATTAATACGAAGTGAAAAAAATTAAATTTTAAATATGTAGGTTTAATGTGTCTCAGAAAACACAACCATTGACAGTTTCAGTGTAAAGTTCTTGTGTAAATAAAAGTTTTTATGAAAAGTGAAACAGAAAGGATTAAGTTCAAAACCAGTGTTAATTGTTTTTAAGCATATTTTTCTATCTTTAGAAATAATTGTACTTTGTTTCTCCACTCTAAAGATAAAATCGTACCATTGCCGTCATAAAAAAACTGGTACAACTCTTATAACCGAAAATCGTGTTTTTCAAGTTGTCTAAGTTGAGCTTGTCACATGTGTCATTCTAATTTCGAAGGCAACGTTGCCAGTTCAACGAAAATATTATATCAAACCAGCTAAAGTAGGGCTATGCGACAAGTTGCCAGTTTTTAGTATACTAAAACAATATCGAGCATTCTCGATCAGTCAGTTACATTTATATTTATACATTTATTTAAACATACATCTTAAAAATTCTATTAATTTTGAAATTTTCCATTATCTCACTACTTATACATTGATTCGTGTTTTATTATAATGTATGAAAATATTTCAATTCAAAAATAATTATAGATAATAAATCTAAACATGACTTTAAATTAATGTTTAATTTCAAATCGAGAGGTGTGATTGGTTTCTCGTAAAGTGTAGCACAAAATTGTATTGAGTTGTGGAATACTATA